TATTAATTTTTAAAAATATTAATTAAAAAATAAATTTTAAATAAATATTTTAAAAAAAATTTAAAAAGAAGAATTGTGGCACTGTATATATTAAAAAAAAAAAAGAAAAAAAAAGAAGGAAACTAGAAATATGGCTATGCAGTTATTGCGTGGCTTGAAACCGGGAAAATTGTGGGGGCCGGGGCTAATATTTCCTTACCTACCCACAGAGCAGAAACCCCATATATTGGAAGGAAGGATCCAGGAGCAAAGATGGGGTGGCTTCTAGGGCTCTTTCCATTTACGTTTCTGATTTCCCAGACTGGGAAATGGGAAAAATCAAAAACACCTAACGCCTCCTTCAAGGGAGCTTCCTTCCAAAAGTCCAAAAAATTCAATCCTCCTGTGGTATATTTCCATAATATTCCTCTTCGATGCATGTGGTTCTCTCCTGTGGGGTGGGATCAAGTTTCCTTTTTTCATGATCTGCACTTAGTCATCCCTTTCCTTATGTGTTTAATTGTATGTCTTTAATTATATATCTAAATAAAATATTAGTATTTATCAGTTATATCTTTTAAAAATTAAGAGAAAATTTTTCTCTTAAAGTGAAAACTGATAAATTCTAATTTCTATCTATAAAATAATCTAACTATTTCTAATCTTCTTATCTTTTCTCTTCTGACGTTGGTGTATGAAAGTTGATGAGTAAGAAAAGTTGTCCTCCAACTGTTTGAATGAAAGACATCGATCTTGCTCAGATTGTCTATTCTCCTTCTCCTTTGATGTTAATTGATACTACTACGTAGTCTTCACGAAATAGAAGGCATATCTGATCTTGGATGATAAATCAGAATTGTAGGTTTAGATTTCCTCTTTTATTTTTATTAGTCGGTGAAGAGGGGTGACATGTGTAATGACTTTTCAAAATATTACTATTTTTACCTGTAATATCTGTAATTATAAACTGTTAAATTTTAATTGATTGGATATTTGGTTTTGATGCGTTTGTATAATTTTTACCGATTGTTAGGTTGGAATCCATGCCAAATTCATGGATTGTGTATATTTTATTTATTTCTTTCGTCCCTCTTCCATGAACATTCTTTTTCTTCAGAATGTGTGGAATCAGCTATGTTGATAAGCAAGTAACATTGAGAAATGAGAACCCTAAGAGCCTATTTGGTTTGTTTTGTTTTTGTTTGTTTTTTTTTTTTTTTAACATGGGGAATTATGGTGTTTGAATGGAGGAGAATGAAAGAAGTTTCCTGATTTGGTAAAAAGATTAAAAGGGGGGAGCTTCTCCTTTTAAGTTTTGCTTTAGCTTTCTTTGCACATTTAGTGTATATTTTAGTGTATATTCCAAGTGGGAAGAAGGGAAGGGGAGAGAAGGAATGTTGTCTCCTCCCTCCCCTCTATTATGTTTTCCTTAATCTCTATTTGAATTGAGAAAATTGAATTGAGAAAGTTAAAGCAACAAGAAGAACAATGAGGAAGAAGTCTCTTATCTCTCTTGTTTGAATAAAATTATTAAAGGAGGGAGAAGGAGGGGAGGTAGATGGAGAGGTAGTGGATTCCCACCAAATCCCTTATTTTTAATCTTTTAATTTGAAAATTTTCAAAGGGGTTTTATTTATTTTTATTTTTTAAAAGTATAATTAAATTTTATATTTTAACTTTAATTTTAATACATAAATTTATAAAATTTCAATTAATTTTATAATTAATTTTCTTTAATTTATTTAATTAAAATTAATTGTGTAATTATTTTTCTTTAATTTATT